GCGCAGACAGCGCCTTCACTTTGAGCCCACAAAGTCGCTTTCACCTGTTCAATTAAGTCCTCGCTTTCGACCAAAGACACTCTAGTTATTTCGCGATTTTGTCAGTATACGAGGATAGAGGAGGTCGAGGTTTTCCTTCTCACTTTTCTCGACTAATTTACGGCACCGTTAAGACGGGCCGGAAGCCAGTGCAATCCGCGTAAAAATAATCGGCTCGATCGCCAGTTTTATTTCCTCTTAGTTACATTACAAATCCAGTGATCATTAACTCTAATTGTCATTAATTTACGACGCGACGCAAATGTCGAGTTGTCCGGGCGAATCTCAATTTTTTCCTCCACTCCGACGTAGCTTACTCATCGCTTTATCGACGTACAATATAAATGAAGCAAAAACTCGTTAGAAATTTTAATGTTGTAAAAAGAAGAAAAATCTCTCTCTCTCTCTCTCTGTTTCTTCACGATAATAGCGTCGCGACAATTGACGCATTCCACACTTTTGTGTTTCCAGTATAGGAGATTGACCTTATCGAAATTATTACCGGTTTCGAACTCCGTGTCGTGGTGCAAGTTTTTCGATTGTTTGCTGGGAATAAAGCGCGATTCCCACCACTCGGGGAATCGACGGGATCGACCCGGCGACTTAAATCTGCGAGCCGCCGCGGCAGGAAAAATCTTTAAAAATGCCCCGACGAAAAAAGCGCGCATGTGCAGCCACGAGCCATCTCTCTTCCCTTGCTCCTCTTTCTCGCCCTCCTACTACCACCGATGCGCTACAGTCCTCCCGGCTTCGCTTTATGCGTTTCTCGCAGCCAAAACAAATCGTAAAGACGCCCGGCGGAGTGCAATCCCATGCTTATTATCGAAAAATCAATGATATCAGCATTGGCGACTTTTCTCAAACACGAAATACCATTCCACGGAACAGTATAGGTACCGTGCGATAGTCGAAGAATTTTATGTTTTTACGGCGTGTACCTCGTTTCGTTAATAATAAGTCGATATGTCCCAACTATGTATTGATATAGAGATTTTTACGAACAAAAAGACCTCGACATCAGTTTCATCAAATCTCCTCCTTTTTCGAAAGATCAACGAAAGAAGGAATGGAATGAGATCTAATCGTACAGGTAGATTATTTGTAATTGGTTCTTGTCAATCTTTTTTACTTCTTTCGTCAATTATACACTCGAAGCCCAATACATATTATGTTTTATATCTTACACGTGCTGAACACAATTTTTTCTATTTTTACAATTTTCTTGCATGTTCCTCTTAACAATTATGTGATTATATCTCTTCTTTCATTGGTAAGCTCGTATAATTTCTATCAAGATTTCTTTCCCATTTTTGTTGATACTATACTAATCTATCTAAGAATGTCCTTACTCTAAAATTTGAAATGAGATATCGATATTGACTGAGAGATTAACACGAGAAACATTGGCTGATTATACGCGATAACATACCGTATTTAAACATTTTCACTAAAAGAAAGTTTTATCTATTATATGTTTTAGTTTCGAATGACGAATGTTGGACGAAATTAACAATGTTTGATTTGAGTGATTATTTTTTACGGGGAGTGGAAAGTATCTATCGAGATATATTTATAAGTTGCTGAAATAGTGTGTGGTGCTAGGATTTATGGCTCACCCTGTAAGAACTTGAGTGATAAACCGGTCCGAGCGAACAAAACGTCATTCAGCAGAGATTCCCCGACACACACACACACACACACGCACATTATAATATTCCTCGTTCTAACCGTCTGTATAATAATACAACACTGTCGAACAAGTCTCATTTTCACTTGCTGGCTGTTCTTATATATATTCGAATTTCGATGTAGATTTATATTTCAAGTGACAGAGTTTTGAAGTAGATTTTTTATTATTGTAACGATTGAAAATTAACACACAACACACACAGAATGCACACACTTTTTTAAGTCCATTTATGATTAAATTTAAGCTATATCGTTTATGTTTAAGTACTTGTGTTATTGAAATCTTAAGCTTTGTGTTCGTTTGAGAATAACTCGTAAGCAAAGAGAACAAGAAGGAATAAAAGTAAGAACAACTCTCCGTAACACTCTCCAATGATATATCCATTTGTAAGTGCAACTCTCAAGAGTGACTCTCGACGGTACTTCTTTCAAATGAACAGTAGCCGCTTGTCTTTATGTGATTTGTGAAACATAACGCGCATCAAAATCAACTTCGAAAGCTTACGATTGCTTAGTTGGTAAAGTTATAAGTGGATCGCGTCTCTCATTAAAGCTCGGTCGGACTGTAGCAAAACTTGGAGTTCGTATCAACGCTTGCCAATGTTTATCCACGCGAATGCAAGAGAAATCGAAAGAACAATCTGACATTTCTTTAATGCAATTTAGTATTAAGAACATTTCTTGAATAACTTGACACTGGGAAAGATTCTTGCGATGCGATGGAGAGAAAACTAATTTTTATCTTTGTTTATTTTTTATAGTCTTTCTAAGTATTAACCTTCTGCATTTGAATAATTGGTCTAAGTATTATTACTTACTTATTATTATTTTCGTCATTACTATTGTAAATATTGTCGCAATTCTTAAAAAAAATTGTATTTATCTAAATCACAATTTTTTTTTCTGATTTCTTACAAAAATCAATTTTTGGAGCAAATAAAAAAGTCATTATTTTATTCTATTAATTAAACTTTTAGTGTCTTTGATGTTTTTATCTTAATTATCAGCTTTCGTAAAATGCACTTACGGGTTACAAAACTTCTTGTGAGATTTCTTTTTACACGATATAGCTAATGACTTCCTGGATGCGAAGGAAATTTGGACGATTGCTCCGGGATTCTGGATGTAATTAAGTGTTGCCGGACGGAGATTGAGTTTAATGAGACGTTGCGTCGCCTTGATCGCATAACTTAATGAATTTCTCTAAATAAATCGGCTTTAGAGCAGATTAATGAATGTATTGTAATTTCTCTAATACAGGAATATGTATATATTTTTACAATTAATATATATATATATATATATATGTATATTGTTACATTATATATGTTAATCGTAAAAGAAGAGAGAGGTGGCGAATAAGAATCAGACCGTTGACGCGTAAATATTTACATCAATACATGATTGATGCTTTTATAATGATACAATTACTTGGTTTATCTAGGAATATCGAAAGCCTTTCAGATTTTCTCGTTGTATAATACACTTGATTAGAAAAACAGAAAATGATGTTTGCAAAACAAGATATCACTATATATATATATATATATATACGTGCTAATTAAAAAATTTGCGCTAATCGTGGAACTCGCGAAATGTTACGCAGAATTGTATCAATGACGATAACGATACTTCTCAAGCCGTAAATATCACATTAGCAACTTTTCGATTGGTTGCTTTTCTCCGCGATAACGGGATATTACAATGTTATCGCAACAGAGATTCTCAAAATAGTTAAAGCAATTATATGATCAAATAAACTTTGGATTGCAATAAATTAATCTCAACCGGTGTATGTAATATTATCTTAACAAATAACGGTTACGTAACGAATAAATACGATACAATAAAACAATTAACTATAAATACGATTCACGTGCAAACGATGGATGCGTGTCGAGTTGCAATAAATTTTTTTTTCTCTGGAAAACAAATTTATATATCGGTGAACTTCGTTAACAAATGTTTCCAAGTCTTATCGTTATCTGCCATATGACATTAACCATCGCTACACATCACGTTACACAACATTTCAATCTACTTCACGTCCTTCTGTATTCACATTCAAGTTTTTCGTTTTTATATTTTTTCTCATCTCCCTACAGTAAATTGGCGTTTGTTCTACTTTTAATCAATTTTCCAAAGAAAATAAATTATTGAATATTTTTGTGTGCACACAGTTCTGCTCGATATAAATTACGGATCTTGTAGATTGTGACTTGTTGCGTATCCAGGCGATAAATCCGTTGGAATATTTTTTGAGAAGAAACAATATAGCATTAGATGAGTCATTGAACAAAGCAAAAGCAAAAATTACATTAATACAGACCGCGCAAAATGCAAATTGAGTGACAAGTCCAAAGTGGCAAATGAGAGAAAATGAAGACTGATGTAATTGGTTCGATAAGAGAAGGAATGCCTCGCGATATTGCGTAACATAAATTCCGTAATCGTAAAGCGGACTTAAGCCGTCTCTTATTCCTCGTAATGTAATTGCGCGCGATAATACCGATTGGGCGAGACACATGTCTTAAATAAGCGTCTTAAATAGCGTGGTAAAGTTTAATTAAAAACTTTGCGCGATATGATGACCTTCTTTTGAGTTTGCCTCTTATTTTCGGTTAATTATAATCGTATCCCGCCTTTGTTACCTGCATATTTAAAAAATTAACGAGTATAAAGAAAAGCACATTAAAGCGGAATGTGCGATACGATTGTAAGAAGTTCCGTCTTATTCGAACATCCAAGGATAAAATTCCTCAAGGATTCAGGAATCCAGCGAATCGAGCACGTGGTTTTGTGTGGCGTTTAGCACCTTATAAATTATCAGCACGATACGCAGTTCATATATATTCGACCTGCATAACAGCGATTGAACTTGTGAAGCGTGAACCGGACGTGTCTATCCATGCGTGACTAGGAACGTGGTTCGATCTGATATTCTAGAACGTGCTTTCTAAGATCGAAGATTCTAAAGATGCAAACATCTACGTGGCCTAATTTCGAGAATAACGTTATTCCTGACCGAAATTGACCAAAGAATATACCTGCAAAATTTATTTTACGAACGCTGACCATCTATATATTCACACGATATTCATACTAAACCGTACACGAAATTCGAGACGATAAATGTAATAATAGTTACCGCGATCAAATAAAACTCTCCATTGTTTACACGAAAGCGAAAAACAAAATAAATATATCATATTTCTTTTCTTATACAATGACGCGCTAACTGTGAATCCTCTTTTTGCATTGTTTACTTGCAGATACTGGCGCGCCCTACGTATTGTACAAAGATAACATGGAGAGACCCCAGGGTCAGTGGGGCCCGGGGCCGGGATCTCTCCAGGACGGTGGACTGTACCCACAGCAGCAGCAACAACAGCAGCAGCAACAGGGTTCCTCCTCGTCGGGAAGCCCACAGCAGGCCTGTGGACCTCCAGTCGAGGGTGGCGAAAGTGGTCCTCCGCCCTCGTTAGCCTCGCCCGTGCCCTCACCATATCCTTCGGCGCCTCCCGAGCCTCAATCCTTGACTCCGCCGGACGATGATATACAGTCAAGTCAAGCCACGTCTCAGCAACAGCAACAACAGCAGCAACAACAAACGCAGCAGCAGGTCCAGCAGCAGCAGCAGCAGCAACAACAACAGCAGCAGCAACAACAGCAGCAGCAGCAGCAAGTTCAACAGCCACCTCAGCAACAACAAACGCAACAGCAAGATCATTCGCCGCAACAACAATTGACTCCTCACGCAGAGGTGGATCGCAGCGACTGCTTTCCTGGCGCCGGAGAGCTGCAACAATATCCGCAGCATTATTTTAAAGAAACCCGGCCGCACCCTTCACCGTCCGTGCCACCGCATATGCTTACACCCGGCGGCTTCTCCGCGCTGCACTATCTCAAGCAACCCGGAGTAATGCTGACGTCTCTCGGCCAAGGCGACGGCGGGCCTGGTCTGGACGCGCATCAGTACGCGAGTCCGGGCGCGCCGAACATGGCGACCGGGTTGCCTGACATTGTGCAGCAGAGCGGTAAATCGTCCAAGGCCGGTAACAGCGATCTACGTCTGTTCAAGTGCTTGACCTGCGGCAAAGACTTTAAGCAGAAATCGACTCTGCTGCAGCACGAGCGGATCCACACAGACAGCCGGCCGTACGGATGTCCGGAGTGCGGCAAGCGGTTCCGTCAGCAATCCCATCTCACGCAGCATCTGCGCATACATGCTAACGAGAAGCCGTACGCTTGCGTATACTGCGAGCGTACGTTCCGGCAGCGTGCCATCCTCAACCAGCATCTGCGCATCCACTCGGGTGAGAAGCCATACCAATGTCCGGAGTGCGGAAAACACTTCCGTCAGAAGGCGATCCTGAATCAGCACGTCCGCACACACCAAGGCGAGCATTTCTCTCTGCCTCCCAGACTCCCCAGAGGGCGTCCACCACAACCAAACACTGACCCACCCACCGGTTCTCACTCATTACTATCGCAACCACCGTCGTCACCGCCGTCACCATCGGCATCATCGCCATCGTCGTCATTATAATCATCACGCTCATTACCGCCGGCGGTACAATAACCCGCATACTAACGATTCATCTCGATTCTCACCTGTCCATCTGCAGCACCAATGGTGGATTTACTTAGCTCTAGAAAGAGCAAAGAATTATATAAATTAACAAAACGATGTGTCTCGAAATAATAGGGGTAAATTCACCACTGGTCTGTGTATCGGCTATATCCCTCACCAGCTTGCCGGAACGCGTTTTTCTTTCTCTGTTTTTTTTTTCCGTTTCGAAAGCTTTCCACAACTAACGACAACGAGTACCAGTAGTACCCATCGGCCTCGTTGAAGCTAAGGCCAACCGGCGGGTAAGAACGGTTGAGCTGGATGCGACAGCGCTGGTGAGCTGTGAGATAGAGCAATCCTTGTCCTCGTTCTATACGATCTGACTTGTCATCCAACTAACCCAACTGCCCTTTAATAACTCTCTGTGTTTCTCCGTTAAAGTGGACAGTCGGTCTGCTATGGATAACTATTTTCTCTCTGACATTTCTCTTCCCGTATATACCTGCTACTAATAACTTTCAATGGGAACCGCGATAAGTTGGTTTACGGTAATTTGCCAAACAGCACAAAAGTTCAAAAGACACGCAAATGCTTCGTCGAATCAATCAGGATATCTGATTAAACTAAAACTCTTTGCTCTTTGGATATTTGTGTTGTCTGGATGTTCTCACTTAACTTGAGCGAGCATCTATGAGGTCGCACTTAATTCGCGCTACAGTTGGCCTTTTTAGATAGATTTGATCCTGTATCAGTAAACCGTAATCCGGGCTACTAACGTTCCTCTTACGTTCCGTCTGTCGTGGAATACCGCCGATGAACCGTGGATCGTTCTCTCGTTACAGACGTGAGTCCACACCTCATCTTCAAGAACGGAATGACGCCGACTCTCTGGCCGCAGGACGTTCCCTTTCCACCTGAAGAGGGTAAGGAGGAAGTGGCATCGACATTCGGCGACACGGACACGCAGTCGGGCGCGTTCAGTCCGGCGCCGGACGCCAACTCTATCCAGTACCCGGCGTACTTCAAAGATCCAAAGGGCGGTAATCACGCGGTGTTTGGCGCAGGTGGCTCAGGCAGCTTTGGTGCGTTGCAGTACATCAAGCAGGGTGGCACGAAGAGCTGTCTACCCGACGTGATACAGCATGGCCGCTCGGCCGGCATGCCGTTGTACGTGCGTTGTCCGATTTGTCAAAAAGAGTTCAAGCAAAAGTCAACGTTGCTGCAACACGGGTGTATACACATCGAGTCGCGGCCGTATCCTTGTCCGGAGTGCGGCAAGCGATTCCGGCAACAGTCCCATCTCACGCAGCATCTGCGCATCCACACGAACGAGAAGCCGTACGGCTGTGTGTATTGTGGACGTAACTTCCGCCAACGTACGATTCTCAATCAGCACCTGCGCATCCATACCGGTGAGAAACCTTACAAGTGCCAGCAGTGTGGCAAGGACTTTCGTCAAAAAGCGATCCTGGACCAGCATACGCGCACTCACCAGGGCGATCGGCCATTCTGTTGTCCGATGCCAAACTGTAGGCGGCGGTTCGCCACCGAGCCCGAGGTGAAGAAACACATCGACAACCACATGAACCCGCACGCGGCCAAAGTGCGCCGGAATTCGAGCGGTGACACGAAACCGCCTGGCACACCCGCGGGCTTGGGTCCGGTACCTGTGCCTCGCGGCCTCACGCCGACGGTCGTCAAGCCGGAGCTTTACTTCCCGCAGTGTTACGCGCCCGCGTTCAATCATCAGCCGCCAGTCTCCACCGCGCAGTTCCCCGGCGCCCAGGCGAACGGCGTCTCCGTGACCGGCGAATTCAAGCCGCCGACCGGTCTGCCGCCACAGTGACTAACCGTCCATCCTGCCGCCTACTAGCAAGCAGGAATCCCCGCGCTGAGGTTTCAGCGCTGTTTCGGTCCCGCCGCGTTGGAGGCCGACGCAACGTCAAACGCCATCGCCGCCGCCGCCGCCGCCGCCGCAGCCGCCTCTCGATGCGGCCAGCAGCCGATCCAGCAACATTACCCGTGACATTTATCATTGTGCATTTACTAGAGTCTTCTTTATTTTCGTCGTTTCACACAACTCGCTCGCTCTTCTTGTTCCATCGCTGCTTAGCAGAACCTCAGAACACACGTCGCCCAGCTAGTCTTGAGCTCGACGGTGAGAATGGTTTCGTCGCGCAGACCGCATAATGCGATTATCCGAGAAGTACGTTGCGAAAATGTGTATTATCCGGTCCGCTATGTCTCTCTCTCTCTGCTTGATTGTCGGATAAAATTATCTTCGAGAGAAAACCGCTTTTCTGTCTGAATGTCGTAGCGTACCGGCTATGATGTAAGCAAAGAGAGAGAAAGAGAGAGTGGGAGAGAGAGAGAGAGAGAGAGAGAGAGAGGGGTATAAATTTCGGGTATATAAAGTTCGGGTACCTCTTGTTTGAAATGTCTTGGGTTTTTGCGTTGTTTGAAATATACGCGGACTAGGTCACACATCTCTGTGTGACATTCATCGAATATGCCGTTACGTATATCGCGAAAAGACGACAATCCTAGTTAGGATTATCGCTATCGTTACACGGTCGCAACAAACCGAGTAACAAACGATAATATACGATTATAGTTGCTCAGGTATCAATCGGTGTCTCGCGCGGCACTCGTAGTAAGTTCGTGATATACATTTTCTTCTTCATGTACGCGATCGTTCGTTACTTTCAACTTTTCAGCACATCGGATTAGATCGACCTTTTAGGAATCCCAAGATTAATGCTTCGTTATTGTTGGCGCACATCGATGACACAGTCTAGTTAATCCGCCAGCACACGCAAATACCGCTTCTCGCTGCGATCCGCATCTCCAAGTCGTCTCGAATTCGCACGAAGGACAAACAACGTTAAAGGGGACACGGGAAAAGCTCGGAAAAGCGGCCGCCGCTCACCGTCGAGTTTCTTACTAGACAGACCAAGGTAAAGTAAAATCAACGAAGAGTCTCGTCTATTCCTCCGTACGTATTTTTTATAATTAATCGATTACGACGTACCTTCTCGCGTTTCTTTCGTGGACAAGCGAGTAGCACGAGAGTTCGGGGCTTACTCCGCGAGACATAGATGAATTCAGAGAGATTGACAAGAGAGTTCCCGCGAATCCCTCTGAATCCATCTATCTTCTTCTCGCGAGATGGTGCATGCGCCGCCCGGGGCGTCACCGCTCACCGTTCAAAATGCCACGTATCGCCAAACGGGTTGAAGATGTTCGATTTCGACCAGACTAAAACGATTGTGATACAATATTTAACTTGCCTATGTTTTAAAAGTTTCGCGAGAGAGAAAGAGCGAGAGAGAGAGAGAGAATGAGTGAGCGAGTGAGAGTGAGAACGATATATGTATATATATATATATATTTATAAATATATATATATATATATGTAGAGAAAGAGAGAGAAATTTTGCTTCTTGAAGGGAGCGCTTACATGACCACGAGAAGAATACCTGTAAATATGTAAAGCCGTTCGCTCCAAACAAAAGAAGAAGAACGAGAAGGAACGACGGAGAAAAGTGAAGTATGCGAGCGTGCGCGAATGGGACTAGGTGTGAATGAGACGGGAAAAAAAAATAAAAGGTACGACTGAATGAGAGGGTAGAAGAAAGACGATATAGGGGGTTGGGGCGGAAAGGCGGGGGAGGGGAGATATGACGAGCAGAAAAGAGGAAGATACGAGAGATTATAGGTAGAATTTACGAGAACGATGCATCCCCCCACTGTGCTGAGCCATAGCTTTCCGTAGATCGAGTCGCGACGACGACGACGATCCGCGTTAGCGTGACGGGGAAAAGAAACGGAAGAAGAAGAAGATTAGGGAGGGGAGGGGTGCAATTCTTGTATACTATAGTAATAATTTGAATGTATATTTATACAGGTTATATTATATTCTAACTATATGACGATATTTTGAATCGGTTTTAAAATCAGATTGGTGCTGATAAAAGAAACTAGATAAGCAAGTACGAAAAAAAAAAACAAGAGGAGGGAACGTGGAAGAAGGCTGAGACACCGTAAAAGTTAGCGTTTAAGTAACGTAGACGATAGCGTAGCTCAAAGTAAAGAAAAGACTTTGAAGGACCGCGCTCGCACGGGGTCCGCTCACATCTCGGAGAATTATCATCATCACTCTTTAAAAGAAAAGAAAAAAAAACAGGGGGAAAAAGGAAAGGAAAAGAAAAAGAAAAACGATTCGTGGCAATACTTAAATGAAGAGCAAAAATGGGAGGAGAGAGGGGGAAGAAGGCTTCAACGTATTAGAGAATAATCTTTTAAAAATTTCTATATTAAGACGTGTGTGATCTCTCTAATTATTGTACATTACGTAATGAGTCTAAAACTTAGACGACGAGATACGTTAGTATAATTACGATTACGTACGTATTAGGTGTTCTACAGTTAGTCTTTTTGTCATTTAGAGACACAGAGATCTGAAGATGATAATTGCGCGGCCATATTCTCTGTGGCCTGTTCGTAGTGCCTCGGAATTGCTGCTCGCGGCAGTGATTTGACCGTATTTTTAGGAAGGTATATTATATTATATTATATTGAGGAACCGCAATTATATTATACTCTCCAATATACAATATTAAAAAAAGAAAAGGAAAGGAGGGGGGGGGGGAATCGCGTCGTGAGGCGTCGCGTTAATAAAACGACTCATTAAATTATTATGACGAAAGAAAATCTACTTATATATATCGCGAGGATGAAATAACGACGACGATATAATCGTGGTTGTTGTTCACTGTTGTTTTTGTTGTTCTTATTATTTTTACTTTTCTTTCTCTCGTTCATTACGTATAAAACGTGAAGTTATGAAGAAAAAAAGGAAAGATGGCGAATGGGAAAATATTGAACGCCGGGAATGGCGGGGTCTCTTCCGGTGTGGCCGTTCGTAATATTTATGAGTATTATTATTAACGTTGAAATAATTTTAATACTTATCCACGTGCCCTTTTTAGGATATATCTTTATCGTTCTTGCGGCGAAAAGAAGAAAGCGCAAGTAAACTTGTTAGACGTTGATCTAATTGAATCGTACTCGAAACATCGATCCGTATGCCTTCGTATACACACATATGCGTCTGTAACAAAAATATGACATATTCTTATTACGTTTCGTAGAAACTTTTTGCAATAGCATGTTGGATATGGTAAAGCCGTGTCAAGTTCAGTGAAGTGAGTTTAAGATGAAAATTATAGATAACGAAACTAAAATAGATACACGATTCGTAATCTACTAGGGGGAAGTACACTTTAAAACTTTTTTAAAAAGTTAAAAAAATTTTTTGTTCAAAATGTAGTTTAAAATTAACGTGTATAAATTCCCAAGTGGATATTCGAATTATTTTTCGAGTTATAGCATTTCAAGTGGACGCGCGTATCTATGCGCATAGAGGTAGTCGATTCAATCGTTGCACTGCAAATAATGTGAATATTGAAGCCAAAATATACATACAGAATATAAAACATGGATAGAATCGCATAGAAATGAGTGCTCCATCAATCATGAAAAAAACGCAAGAAACTTTAAAGGCTTTTTCTCGAAACCATATGTTTTTCAAGACGATATACATGATTTCTCGAGCTACAATTGACGGATTGGCAATTTGAAAAAAATGTATATATATTTCAAATTGCATATATATATATATATATATAACTAGTATTTTTTTTGTCTGTCGTACGATTTTATTGATAACATTCCTAGTTTACAATAATAATACAAATGCAAAATACAATAACAATATCAAAACATGTGTTAAAAATTCAAACACGTATATTTCCGTCAATTTTCAAAGAAATGAAAATAAGTCACAGGCGATGAGGAGTACGTTATAATTTATGAAACTATTTCGATTTTTGATTTCAGGATAACCAAAATAGCGGAATCTGTTTACAAGCAAAATCACATTTATTATTTTTCAATAAAATTTGCAACATGACGAGTTTAATGTACATATGTATTAGTAAAGTGCCAAATTACTCGGATCGCATTACAACCCAAATTCAAACAAAAAAACTCTACTTTTTAGACTAATTAAAGTGTATTGTTTCCTTAAGTACTTTACGAAATCGCATGTAAAAAAGAACTTGATGGTTATTTCATTATTTTTATTACTTTGTATTTCATTCTTGCTCCGCAAATTTTTTTATTGTTATGATAACTTATATAATTGTTTTACGTACATCAAGCATGGGATTTTAGCGTTTACCATTTGATTATTGTTAAAGATGCTCAATGTTTGTTGAAAATTGTAGCGGTTGTTTGCACAAAAATGAAAATACTTCTCTAAGACTTTGAGAATTTTGTTTCTCATCGAAAAAAGGTATAATTAAAAGAAAAACAATCTTTCATTCCTTCTTTATTATTAAACTTTACACTGACCGCGTTATAATCGTGTCTCAATTACAGATTCGTATAGATAGTAATTCATTTTTGTTGTAAACATCTGTTCTTATTTACATGTTTTACTCATTATCAAAAAGACGGAATATTTTTATCGATCGGATAAATGTCAGTGTCCGGAATGCTTTTCCTCTTTCACAAATAATGTGTCAGTGATTTATATTATCCCAAAACAGGGACACCCGAATAAAAATTGCAACCGTTTCACAGATAACAGTCATAAAACATATTTTTTTAGCTTACATTATTTTCTTCTTTTTATTTTTCGAGGTAATTAAAGTTTTTTTACTTCTCGAAATCTTTAATCACATATATTTCTTATACATTTCGGACGTTATATATATTTTATAATTTTATTTCTCTACGAGACACACAACAAACATTAAAAACTCAACTTACAGTTTAACTAATGAATGTCCAGCACACAATGATATGCGCGCGATATAAATTATAAAATATACATTTACGAGTACTAATTTATTATATATACAAGAAATTAAACATTTTAAATTAAATTATTTTTTGCAAACATTTTTGCTCAAAACTTTCATGTAATCTATAATTAATGGCCGGTTTTTTATATGTACTCCTTCGGTCCAATTTATGTCAAATCGGAAACGACGATAGTCTCATTTCGTTCGGTAAAACTCGCCGCGGGAAACATTGCTCGCAAAATCGTGTGGTAACGTCGAAAAGAGTAGCGCACGAGGAAAGGAATTTTTTTTCGAAAAAAATAGAGAAATTGCAATATAAGTGGGAAAAGAATTACGTTGACAGCATTTTAAACTTATTCATACGCACGGCCGATTGTACTTTAAAGGAATCCGTGATAACGAAAATAACCGATTACACACAAAGATTCATATACATAAACATATTAACATAACAGGCCAAGATTAGAGGGGGAAGAAAAAAAAAAGAGAGGAAGAGGTAGAGACACGCGCAC